TTGTTTTTGGACTCTCAGGTCTATACCACTGATCTACGTCTATCCTGCCAGTGCCACACACTATTGTTTGCTGTAGTTATATGATAAGTTTTGAATCAGGAAGTGAGAGTTCTCCAAACTTTGTTCTTTCTGAGGATTGTTTTGCTGCTGCTGCTGCTGCTGTTTGTTTTGTTTTATTTGTCTGTCTTGTTTTGTTTTTGAGACATGGTCTCCCTGTAGCCCCACTTGGCCTAGAACTTACTATGTAGACCAGGCTGGTCTCAAACTCACCTCCCAAGAGCTAGAATTATGCCTGGCTTCAGGACTGTTTTTTGCTATCCTGAGTACCTAAGAGTTATAGAATCAGCCTGTAAATTGCTACCACAAACAAACTTTTTTTTTTCAGTCTTTTTTTGAGACAGGCTCTCCCTGTAGCCCCAGCTGGCCTAGAACTCGCTATGCAGACCAGGCTGGCCTTGAACTCACAGAGATCCACCTGCCTCTGCCTCCTGAGTGCTATAAAGGCATGTGCCACCATGCCTGACAATAAACAGTTTTTATAAAAGGGTTTTAACAGAAATTATACTGAATCTGATAACCAATTTAGGTACATTGGCCAGGCATGGCAGCACACATCTATAATCCTAACACTCCAGAGACAGAGGCAGAAGGATTACCACAAGTTTGAGACCAGCCTGGGCTACATAGTGAGTTCCAGGCTATTCAGGACTACAGATGGAGACCAAGTGTCAGAAAACAAAAAACAATTCGGGGGCAATGGCATCTCCAAAGATCTTCCAATCCACAGACAGGGGATGTTGTTCCACTTATTGAGGTCTTCCTTTAACTTCTTCCAGTAATGGCTCACGGTCTTCAATTAATTATTCAATCAATTATTCAATTAGTAATTCAATTAATTAATATCTATATCTTTCCAAGAAGGTATGTGTGTGTATATATATATATATGTATATATTTATATATATAAATCATGTCATAGGTAAACAGTTTCACTCTTCTCCAATCTGGATGCCTTTTATATCTTTTCTTGCCTAACTGCCCTGGACTCTGTCCTTTTAAAGCCGAAACAGTGCTCCCCCTCCCCTAATTCTGGGGATTAAACCTAGGGCCTCACACATGCTAGGTAAGCACTCTACCACTGAGCTACCCTACCCCCAGCCAATGTAGTTTCTTGAGCGTCTTCCTCATTTCTCCTCAGAATAAATTTTTTTAGGGGGATGATGCAAGGGTACAGGGGGAAAGAGGAAGTAGAATCTTTAAGAGCAGAAGTTGCAAACAGTAGTTTTAATTGATTTTGCGCGCCGGGGCGGGGGAGACTCTCATTTTCATAGTGGAATGATTTTGCTTTACAGCACCTGGGCTTAGTGATTTTCTGGAGGAATCACTGAAATCTATTTTTTAAAAGATCTATTTTATTTTTAATTATGTGCATATGTATGTATCTGTGTGTGGGTATGTGCATGTGTGAGTACACGGTACTGTAAAGCCCAGAAGAAGGCATTGGATTCCCTGGAGCTGGAGTTACAAGTGATTGTGAATAATCTGATGTGGGTGCTGGGAACTGAACTTGGATCCTCTAAAAAAGCAGTAAGCATCCTTAACCACTGAGCTATCTTACCAGTCCTTGAGATTCCCCCCTTGCCCCACCAAGCTTTGTACACAAGTCTGGCTGAGTCCAACATCTGCCCTTCTTTGTCCATTAAGTCAAAGATGATATGGCCACTTTCCCAATGGCAATCCCTTCTCCTTCTCTGGACAATTTCTCCTTGCCAGTTAGAGATAGACCACTCAACAGTTTCTACCTTGTGCCCCACCTTCTGAGAAATAAATCAGACAATAGGGTTGTCAGCTGTTCTGCGACTATTTCAAAGAGACTTTGATAAATATCTCTAAGATATCTGAAAGCTCCTCCAGCCTTTCAATGTTACAGTCTATAGCAGGGTCTACTTACCTGCTCTATTCATTTACTCTCAATCTCCCTCTTTTTAAGTCATCCTCTTCCTGGTACTTGGCCCCTCCTGGTGATCACCCACACAGGAGTGAACATATTTTCTTGACACCCCAGGTGCTGCAGGCATCCCATCTAGAAGACTTTTTCATCAAAACACACTTAACTGCCTCACTCCTGATGAAATATCCTGGGTCACCACACATTAATGGGACTCCTAGTTTCTAAAGCCGAAGAACAAAGGGAGGAATAAGGTTTCAGGAGATGTACTCCAAAGGCTTTGCAGAATGTTTTGCAATGAGGTTTCCCTGCATGGCACTACAGGTCCTGTCTTATCATTGACTTCTTAGATATTATGTAGGAAGCCAGGTGAAAAATCTGTGACTTTGTAGACAGGTCCCTCCCCATCCAACTGAGCTCTCAATGGCTAGAAGAAGCAAAGCACCCAGGTCACTAATTAGGATCTAACTAAAGCAGGATCCAGGGTGGTCAGCACTCTGGCCCTCTCCTCTGTTCACTACTCAATGTGCCCATCTTCAGGATGGCTGTCTTCTGTTTGGGGCTTTCCTCCCAGGGGCCAATCACTTCCTCCTAGTCCATTTGAAATCAATTTCAACACTCTGAAATCAATTTCAGAGGCTACTAGACTGGAGCTTCATCCAGCTTCCTGTCTATACTGATTTTCTTCTAACCTCACAGGTCCACCCTGTCTAAAGACAAAGCCATTTGGCTAGGCTTCCTGTCAAGGTGATTCTTCCCTCACCCTTGGACATGGCTCCTACTGAGCTCCAATGTCTATTGAGAAGTACTTGGGGTTTATCGCCATGAGACCTATCTCAGAGCCCTTCTTTTTTTTTTGTTTCTTTGTAGGCCCAGCTGACCTGGAACTCACTATGCAAACTAGGCTGGCCTTGAATTCACAGAGATCTGTCTGCCTCTGCCTCCTGAGTACCATGCCTGTCAGTGCCCTTAAATCTATTCCACAAAGCTTATTTCAATCACTGAAGCAAAGAATGAGAATATAATGTAATAGTAATCTGGGGCAGGAAGAGAAGATTGATCCATATTCTTGTGAACTGAGTTGTACTCTCCTACTCAGGCTTGCTTACTAGCCAGGCTATGGGCAAAAGTTAGGTTGGTGCAGCATCAAGGAAAGGCTCCCTAATTATGCACAGGTACCACATGTATGAGGTATCACAGGTATCTCATGGCAAAGATAAACAGGAGGAAATGCTGAGGCTGATACGAACATGCCACCAGAATGTTCTATGCTTTTATTTGCTATAATTAAAAAAAAAATTCTACGCCTGTAGTCCTAGCACTTGGGAGGCAGAGGCAGGCGAATCTCTGTAAGTTCAAGGCCAGCCTGGTCTACACAGTGAGTTCCAGGACAGCTGGGGCTACAGGGAGACCCTGCTTCAAAAAGACCAAAAAAAAAAAAAAAAAATTCTTTCCATTCTTGTACCTCTTGGTTGTAATAACTGCTACTAAGACCTTAAATCTACCATCTGTTTGTCACCTGTTTTTTGTTTCTTGGGTTTTCATTGTTGTTCTTATTGCTATTATTTTATTTTGGAGACAGGATCTTACTACGCAGCCCAGGCTGGCCTGGAACACACAATCTCCCTGTCTCAGCTTTCCAAATGCTGGGATTACAGGTGTGTACCATCACACCCAGCTGTCTGTCATCCTTCAAGGAGTCAGTTGCTGTAATGTATCTATGGTTCATTTTTGAGTGTCTAGGGTAACATATTCAATACTATGTTCAGCTTATTAAAAAGAATCAAATGAAACAAGTTTAATGTTATTTTCCTGTCTTCCTTCATATTCAATTTACTGTCTATAAATTATACATTTCAACACAGTGTATTTGTTTTGCTGAATTCATTCACAGTGTATCTGCAGGACTGAATTTAACATATTTCTTGTAGTGACAACTACTCTAATTGCAGAAACTATTTAGGTCACTAGAGTTAAGAAAAAGAGGTCATACTTAGAAGAAATGATATGCACCCAAAGACAGATGCTATTTTCTGAACACCTGTTGAACATCAAATGAAGAGAGTGTTAGGACTTTTCAAAAGCCTGGATCTTAAATGATGGTCACTTTGTTTCGGCTGATAAGGAATTTAACCCAGAAAAGGGAATCTTACCAAAGAAAGAAAGCTTTAATATGCTGGCGGCTTTAGAAATAAACACCTTATTAAAAACGCAGTCTGTTTCATTGTAAATTATTTCTCATCAAGTCACTAAAGAGGAAGCTATATGATCTGAACCATAGGCAAGTACTGTAATTGCTTCCGGAGACACAGTGTGCATGACAAATATTTTCAGTTGTCAAGGGTGAATGAGGTGAATGACCCACCTAAGAAATGGAAACTAACAAAAAGTAACATGACACTCCCCCTTAGAACCACGGAGCTGCTGCTACACAGTCGGCTAATTTCCTATGTCCATGTACAGTCTAGACTGTAAAAGCTGATCGAAGGCAGCCACTGTGGTGGAGGGTGGCACGTAAGGGTACGAGGGAAGGGGCATCGGCAATACCTCTATCGTGGCATTCATTCATTCGTTCATTCACTCCTCCACTCATTCATGCAATGAAACTATGTGCTTAACACTGAGCTGGAGAATTGCCTCTCTAACTAGGACACGCACACCTCCGCCCCCACTTTCAGCCCTGGGCATCACTTCGACCTCAAGAAGATGCTCTTTAGAGTCTAGCCCTCCCTCCCTCTCCTGAGTTCCAAGCCAGGATGACAGGCCAGAGCCACAGGCCAAAGGACTACGCCTTAGCTTTTCTCAAGGCAAGGGGCTCGCAGCGCGCAGGGGCCGGGTTCTGGGGACAGCCAGTCCCGGCTGGGGCGGCCGCGCCCGGGGCGGGGCGGAGGGACCGGCCACTGCGCTTGGAGCGCGAACCTGAAAGCAGGCCGTGCCGGGGTCCGGCGCAGGGACTAAGCCCAGCCGGCTGCGGGAAGAGGCTGGGGACCCCGCGTGCCCAGGGAGGAGCCGCCCCGGGGAACTCGGGTCCCGGCCGGGCGGGACGGCTTACCTGATGAAGGTGGTCTTGCCGGTGCTGTACTGGCCCACCAGCAGGATCATGGGCTTGTTTTCGAAGTCGGCGTCCTCCAGCGCTGGCGAATGGAACTCGTGGAAGCGGTACGCCTCCTCCAGCGGTAGCACCTTGCGCAGGTAGAGCGAGCGCAGGCCGCCTGTCACCGTCTGCACGGCGTCCATGCCTCCAGCGCGCTCGCGCCCGCCCGCCTGCCGCCCCATCCAGCTGAACATCCTGCGCTGTTCGCCGCTCGGACCCGCTCCTGCTGCGACCCCCGCTCCCGCACTCCGCGCCCTTCAGCGCTCGCCGCCGCCCGAGCCCGGCCCCGCCTCCTAGCCGCCGCGCCAATCGTCCGCCGCTGCGTCACCAGCGCGCGTTCATTATTCAGAAGCACTCTCAGGCCCTTCCTCATTGGGCCCCGACCAGCAAGGGGTGGAGGTGTTGGCCAATGGAAAGGCGTCTCTTAATAAATTATTGATGACGGCGTCCTTCTTGGGGCCTGGAGAGGGTGTGCTCGGTGCGGTGGCTCGGAGACGTCATCCCGAGGGCTTCCTTCTAGCCAGGTGGCTTTGGCTTCCGGGCAAATCTGAGCTGGCAAAAACGAGCCTCCAGAGGATCCTGGAGCTTTTACTCAGATCCTAGTCTGTAGACGTCGATACTGGGAACGAAAAATCCAGAAAGTTGACAGGCAGGTTCCTCTTCGGCTGGCAGGTTGTTGCTACTCTACTTACTGGGAAGACACCTACGTTTATCGATGTAATTGGCAAAATTTGAAGGAGAGGAAGTGGACTCCAGTCTAGTTGGGTAGAAGTTCTGCTTTAAGCTGTTCCACTGAATTCTGGATCATCTGAAGACCTCTTTACCCTTAGTTTTCTTTATTTGATTTTCTAGAGCAAGGAATCCTCATTATTACAACCCAGTTTTCAGAAACTAATATGTAAGAGAGCTATTGTTACTTCCTAGCCATCCCTTCTCCAGGTTAAAGCCTAGGAACTGGAAGAGATAATTGGCCATCGCCCATGGAATTCTACGCGAGAAGTTATATAGAGCATTTCTCAGCGTGATAAATGAGGCTAGCTGCATAAGAATAAGCCGAGATGCTTGTTAAAATGTAGACCTCTGGTCCTCATTATGGACCTACTAAATTAAAATATTGAGGAAAAAGTGGAGCTCAAAGCCTACAGGTATTGCTTCTTTAAAAAAATGTTATTTAAAATTTTATGTGTGAATGTTTTGCTTGCAGGTATATAAGTGTACTCATGCGTGCAGTGCCTGGGGACGCCAGAAGTAGCCTGTGGGATCCCCTGAACTGTAGTTACTGATGATTGTCAGCCACCATGTGGGTACTGGGAACTGAACCAGGGTTTCTGCAAAAGCAGTCAGTGCTCTTAACCACTGAACCATGCCTCCAGCCACAATGGCATTGCTTCTTGAACTTGGTAGAAATGCAGATTTGATTCAGTAGGTACAGGGTAGATGCAAGACTGTGTTTTTAACGAGCTCCGTGGTGTTGCTGACGCAGCATAAGGATGTTTATAGCAGCTTTATTTCTAATTGCTAAAACTTAGAAGAAACCAAGATGTCCCTCAGTAGGTGAATGGATAAACTACGGTATGTCCAGACAAAAAGGTACTGGAGGTATTAGGTGAACTTTTCAGTAAGAGTTTATATGGTAGAAATGAACAGTTACATATTGAAGTGGAAAATCAGTATCACTTGCAATACCAAAACTCTGAAATGTTTAGGAATAAATCTGATTAAAATGTACCAGATCCATTTACAGAGAATAACAAATACTTCTGAAAGAAATGAAGAAAGCCTAAATATATACTGCCTATACCACGTCAAGGATCTGAAGACTCAAAATTAAGATGTCAGTTTTCCCCAATTCATTCAGTGCAATCCTAATCAAAATCTCATCAGGCTTTTGTTTTATGATGAATTGACAAAATGCTTCTAAATTTCATATGTAGATGTGAAGGGCCTAGAATAACCAAACAATGTAAAAATAATAAAATTGGATATCATGTATTACCTAATTTTAAGACATTATAAAGCTACAGAAATTAAGGTAGTGTGGTACTAATGTAAAGATAATCTAATAAACATATACTAATGACATTTTAATAACAGGCAGTGTATATAATGGTACTCCTATAAGATTATATAACACCACATTTTAGTTTGTGTGAGTACACCACAGAGTGTACTTAATATACCTAATACCTAAAAATGCACTTCTCAGAGAGTACTTCATCATTAAGTGATGTGGGCTATTTCAATTGAGATGGAGTCCAGAAAAAGTCCCATCATATGTGGTTAATTTTTGATGAAGTGGAAAGGCAATTCAGTGGATAAACCAAAGTCAGTTTTTTTTAAATCTTTTTGAGACAGGGCCTTATGTAGTCCAGGTTGGCCTCACATTCACTAGGTACCTGAAAATGACCTTGAACTCCTAAATGCTGGGATTATAGGCATGTGTCACCAAGACTGGCTAAAAAAGTCTTTTTAACAAAGAGTGTAGAATGTAGATGCTTAGCGTGCATGAGACTGTGGGTTCCATCTCTACCACCAAAAAGAAAAAAAGGCCATATAGTTCTAGAACAATAGGATCTATAAAAAACCATGAATTTTGATCCGGATCTCATATTCTATGTCAAAATTAATTCAAAATGAATTCTAGAGCTAAATGCAAAACTTAAAAATTGTAAAACTTCTCAAAGAAAACATGAGAAAAAATTTTTGTGGCTTTAGGTCAGAGAAATTTTTCTTAGATAACACCAGAGACATAATACATTTTTAAAAATTGATAAATTGAATTTCAACAGTTAATAACTTCTGACCTTTGAATGACCCATTAAAAGACTGGAAAGAAAAGGTGTGAACTTGGAGAATATATTTGCAAATGATATCTGACAAAAGGCTTGTATCTAGACTATATAGACCTTTTAAAATTTAATAATAAGAGCCTAATTTTAAAATGTGGCAGCACATACCTTTAGTTCCAGCACTCAGGAGGCAGAGGCAGGCAGAGGCAGGCAGATCTATGTTAGATGGAGGTAGCCTGGTCGACAGTGAGTTCCAGTTCAACTGGGACTGCAGGGAGACCCTGTCTCAAAAGGACCTAATTAATTAATTAGAAAAAATGTTTCAACAGATACTTTGAAAAAGAAAATAAAAGATGTTTAGCATCACTAATCATCAGGAAAAGGCAAATTAAAACCATAAGATGATATCACAATATACCTAATAGACTGTAAAATGAACAAGGCTGATCAAGCCAATTGTTGAGCACCTATAACTGTCTTATATTGCTTGTGGAAATGTTAAAGGGCACAACCACTTTGGAAAAAGATTGGCAGTTTCTTAAAAAAATAAACACCCATATATCACATGACCTAAAAGGGAAAAATAGAGGATAGAGTTATAAAGGGCAGGAGAAAAAGATGGAGAGGGAGAGGAGAAACCTTTTAGGGTGAAGTATATGCTCATGACCTTGATTTTGGTGATGGTTTCATATGTCAAAATTCACCAAATTATGTACCTTCAATACATTCAAATGATTATATGTCAATTATACCTTAATGAGTTACTTAAAATGTGAGTACCTTCTGACTTAGGAATTTTTAGTTGAGGGAACTATCCTGAGGGTGTTTACCCTAAGGCATAATTAATGTAAAGCCTTATCTGAGAGACTATTTATCAGCATATCACTTATAATACTGGAAAACTGTAACTAATTGTCTTCCAAACAGGACTAGTTAAGCAAACAGTGGCTTCCTCTATAGTCACTGAACACTGTGTCATATGAGAATAATAATAATGACCTTTAAAAAGTCAGAGTATTTTGGGCTAGGGTGGTAGTTCAGTTGGTAGAGTGCTTACCTAGCATGCATGAAGCTCTGGTTTCAATCCCCAGCAGCACATAAAATGGGGCATGGTAGTACACACCTGTACCCAGCCCTTGGGAGGTAAAGGCAGTAAAATTAGAAGTTAAAGGTCATTCTTGGCTACATAGGCCAGCCTGGGATGCATGAGACCTCTTTCCCCTGCCCCCCCCCCCAAATCAGTCTATTTTTAAGTGGAAAAGGCTGGATTACAAAAGTGAATGTGCATACAATTGTTATGAAAAACAGTATATAGTTTCCTCAGAAAAATATGAATGGAAAGACCATGTGATCCAGCAATTTCACTTATGGATATATACCCAAAAGAATGTAAGGTAGGGTCTCAAAGAGGCACTTGTATACCTATGTTCATAGCAACATTATTCACATTTGCCAGGAGGCAGAAGCCACTAGCATGTTCATCTGTGGGTGAATGCTAAACACAATGTTGTGCTTATTATTATTCAACTCTATAAAGGTGGAAACCCTGGCATGTGCTGCAACATAGGTGAATCTTGAGGACATTGTGCTAAGGTGAAGAAGACAGCCAGAGAGAGATGAATGCAGTGCCGCTTACATTCCGTTTCTGTTCATAGAGACAGAAAGTAGAGTGGTGGTTACCAGAGGTTTTGGGGAGGAGGAAGTGGGGTATTGTTCAATGGGTAGAGTTTCCGTTTTACCAGTTGGAAAAGCTATGAAGAACTATTGCACAATGTGGAACATTTATGCCTGCCGAGCTGTGCTCTTAGAAATGGCTAAGGTGGCGAATTTTGTATTATACAGTATTGTGCTTCATTTTGTTGTTTTTGTTTTTTTGATACTAGCCCAGACCAGCCTCAAACTTGCTACAAATTCACCACAAGCATGCCTAGTGCATGGGGAGGCCAGAAGAGGATACTGAATCCCCTGGAACTAGAGTTACAGATGATTGTGAGCTGCATTGTGGGTGCTGGGAACTGAATCCTGGGTCTTCTGCAAGAGCAGCAAGTGCTCTTAACTGCTGGGCCATCTCTTTAGCCCCCATATGGTGTTTTTAAAAACTACAATCTGTTGTTGTTTTTTGTTTGTTTTTGTTTGTTTGTTTGTTTTTGAGACAGGATCTCCCTGTAGCCCCAGCTAGCCAGGAATTCTGTGTAGATATGTAAACTAGACTGACAGAGATCCACTCACAGAGATCCACTTGTTTCTGCCTCTGCCTCTGTGTCTGCCTCTGCCTTTCTAATACTGGGACTAAAGATGTGTGCCACCACGTCAGCCTAAACTACAACTTAAAAAAAAAAAAGTAGATGCACAGGATTTTGTATTTTTGTTTAAAAATGGTTTAAAGTACTCAAGAAAAATATGGGAGTGATGAACCCCCAAATAGTAATGATCTCTGAGTGAGAAAGATAAATGATCTTAGTTTCGTCTTTTTGTGCTTTAGAATTTTTCAAATTTTACA